CTCAAGAAAGATGATGTATTAAGTTTAGCACCCTCTATTTTTCTGGGTGTCACAAGGGAGAACAATTAAGGGGATATCTCTCCAGTGGAAACACAGACAATATAAACCTGTCAAAAGATCTCTCTATCACTTCCTACAACCCCAACATAAAAATGATCAGCACTTCTCTTTAGGCCGGCACTGGGAACGTTCTTCCTCTCTCCCTCTTCTCTCCTGCATGGCTATTAATGCGTATGGTCAGGAGGTTGTTGATTGAAGATCTGCTTTCTGCCTCTGCTTTCAAAAATATATAGAATAGTGTGGGAGTTTTAGCTGTTTTATAGACAAAAATTAAGATTTTAGCGTGTGCAAATTAGGGATGCACCGATACCAAGTACCGTACTCGCTACAAGTACAAGTACATGTACAGATACTTTTCAAGCTCCAAGACTTGGCTAGAGAAAAATTCAAAAGTTTGGAGGAAGTAAACCCTGGTAGTTCTCGTGAAAATGCCAAGTATCTGCACTGGTATCTGAAAAGTATCGGTGCATCCCTAGTGCAAATATTAAGAAATTGCTCTGGACAGCAAGTGGTTAAAATGGCAATGTCCAAACATTTCACTGATAAATATCCTGATACATACTGTATACAGTATGTATATGTTTATAGGATAATTTGTCTTACTATGAGTTGATTAGTCTTTCTATCTTGTTAGCTATTTTTTTTACTATTAAAGCTTTTAATAAGAGTGCAATATTTTACACTTATAAACTCCTATTCAGCAGCTCAGTGACTGCACACTGTCACATTATGAATGCACTGGCCTGACACCTGTGATGTCAAGCGCCATAACAATGCACTGCCTGCCCCCTGCCTCCGCTTACAGAAGCACAGTTTGATATAAAACCTGCCTTGTCTTTCCCTTTTCTAAAATTAGCAAATCAAACCATGCAAATGAACTCTACAATGAGAAGCTCTATTTTATTTTCTTACAGGGCTTTTGTTTTCAACTCTGGAATTTGCTTAAAAAGCTATTGTTTATGCTGGTAGCTGCAGCAGAATGTGTGCAAAAAGCAGACTTGGAGGCAGACAAAAGAAGAGAACAGCCTGTGACACAGCTTTAAACTTTATTAAGTCTGCCTTGGACCCCTTTTCCTCTTTGGAGCTAAATGGAAGCAAAGTTTGGCAGCCTCCATGCTGTGCTCTTGATTGATGCCCTGAACATCTGAAGCACTTTTGTGTCCAGCTCACTCTTTATGAGTGCATAATGTGTGAATACTCAAATAAGGTCAGCCCTTATCACATGTAATCTAGGCCTCAGCACAGATCAACAGTGACAGTCATACCCAGTAAGGGAGAGCACAAATCATTCTCGGCATGAACAGAGCAGCTTAAATGATTGTTGACAGTCACTGGTGTTCTATGGAAGGCAGAGTAAAAATAAAAGAGATCTAGGTGTATCATGTAGGCCTGTAGTGAAGATGAAAGAGGAGGCATTCTGGGTAGGGAAGTGTAGTTACAGCCAAGAGGAAATTTGTACGTTCTTTCACAGCACAAAGCAATAAAGTGCACCAACCCATAGCAACCAATCTGATTTCACTTTGCTGATGTTAGATCTGGAAAATATGATTTTAAAGGAAAAATGATTTCTGATTTGTGCAAGTGTCTAAATTTTGCTCTGGTTGACTACTCCTAATAGTTTTTACATTTTCTAGTTACAAATTGAATGTTTAAACTCAACTGATGTTCTATTTTGTGGTATTGCTATCAGATCTTTCATTAGTTATGACAAAGCTTCCAAGAGTATCCTGTTCTCAAAACAATCACCAGTGAACAAGGGTTCCACTTCTGCACAAAGTTTGAACAATTTCATGGTTGAACAAGAAAAAAAATCCAGCATGCTAGATGATTTATGTTTCTAATATTGCTGATTTATGTTTCTAAAATTGCTGATTGATGGCATTTGTTTTGGCTCATTTTTATCCCTTATATTACTGATCACTTTGATAATTTCATATTCATAAGTATACTTGCAACTGATATCCAAGAGACTGCATGTTTTGGCTGTGAAATCTGATAAAGCTGCTCTTAAAGTGACATTAAACCCTCAGATTTTTTAACATAAAACAATACTGTAATGTGCGCCTTACTGTAATCCATGGTTGTTTCCCTTCTCTTTGCTGCTCTTCCTTTTAAATCTGTATCTGTTCTCATGCTGGGCAGAACTTTTGTTTTGCAGCAGACTGCCTTGTCTCAGGAATGAATACATGGTGTCTGTGTGTAGGTTTGTATAGGCTTGTAACCTGAGCCAGCACTACAGGAAGAGGCCCTGAGCTGAAAAGGGAAGTTCTCCCCTAGCATGAGAAGACATAAGGATTTAAAAGGAAGAGCAGCAAAGAGAAGGGAAACAACCATGGATTACAGTAAGGCGCACATTACAGTATTGTTTTATGTTAAAAAATCTGAGGGTTTAATGTCACTTTAATTACAATAAATAGTCTGTAAACATTCCTGAATCCTGTACTTGTTCTGTCTACTTATACAATGTACAAATTCATATTAACATAGCTCTTTGGTTTCCTTAAATTTATAATGGGTTTGACACATAGACGTAAATAGTGCATGCTTTAGATAGTGTCATTGGGACCACAGGGTTAGGGTAATAAATACTGCGGATTAAACAGAGTTTCAAAAAGGAAAAGCACAAACTTTCCTTTGGAATTAGCAGCTTCGTGTGTAAAGGTGACACTGACAATTTCAGCTCCAATCTGATGGTAGTAAGCTGACTTTTCCTTGGGTGCCCATAAACTTGTGATAAGAGCTAGTGACAATTAATTGGACTCTTTCTAATGTGCCAACTGGGAATAATAAGCACCTCACGAGGAGGGGAAGGGGGGGGGGGGGTATCCCAACTTGTTTAAAAGCCCCTGTGCAGTGAGAGGAGTAGTACATGTCCATAACTGTCAGCTTCCTTAGGGTATTACAGTCAGTCTTAAAGTGACACTGAACTCAGGAGTTAACTCTTAAAAATGCATTTGAGTACCCTAACTACTAACAGAAATGAAGCTTATCTGTGTATCACTTGGCTGTAGATCCTCAAATCATCTCTGAATTCATGCTGACACTGTCCTTCCTTCTAGAGGGTGGCTACTTTTGTTCCCCATGGTCCCTGTGTTTGTGTTGTAAAGTAGCCGCCACTCTAATCTCACTCCCGTGATTGACTACAATCTCAATACAAATAATTAAACTAAATGTGAGATTGTAATCCATAACAGGAGCAAGCTTGGAGCGGTGGCTACTTTACAGCACACACAGGGACCATGGGGAACAAAGTAGCCACCCTCCAGAAGTAAGGACAGTGACGGTACAAATTCAGAGATGATTTGAGGATCTACAGTCGATTGATACACAAATGAGATACATTTGTGTTAATAGTTAACATACTTGAATGCATTTTTAAAATTTAACTCCTGAGTTTTTATGTTAATCAAAATTGGATAAAGTGCAGATGTGCCCTTCATTCCCATAGAGACATTATCCTGACTGTGGCCAATAATAATATAATTGATTACTCACACGCTTTTAAAATATTTCTTCTGAGATTCAGATTCTGATTTGGGTCAGATTCTTTCTCAATTGAAATATATTTAATCCGATATTGAATACTTGAAAGGGTAGCTTCACACTTCAAATAACTGTAGCTTCCTGTGTATAGGCCATGTATTACTTTTCTTGTGACCTGGAATTTAGGGTTGGGGTATAAACATACCATTCTGCACGATTTGACCAAATCTCTTCAGGTTTTCAGGTCTATTTGGCTGTTCCAGTCAGATTCAAGGCAGGCACTGCTGGTCACTGAAAACAATCCAAGTTGTTACTACAACATAAAACTAGATCAGGGTAGGAAAGTAGTCATTTAAAGTGCAACTCAAGGCAAACGGCTAAATAGACTGTTGAGATACATATACAGTATGTTTACTGTTTTCCCTAGCAAGGCATTAGTAAATCTGTTTAGCCATTTGTGTGCTTCACATGCCTCTACAACAGCTCCTGTCAGGCATATTAATCTTATTTTTTGGTTCCAATTTTACTACATTTGGGTTCAGCTTTATTGCTTCCTGGGTTTTTTACTAATTTGACATAGATGATGACAGGCTCACCGTTGAAGGAACAACCTGTTTAAAGAGCTTTTTTGAACCCGAAAAGAAGTCAAAGTGCACATACAAAGTTTTAATTAAAATCCTACTCTGCCTTACTCCAAACTTGAAATCTACATTTTCCTTCAAAAAGTATTTCGTTAAGTCATGTCCTACTATGACTCACAGTCAGCTACTGTGCCGTTACTATGAAAGGTGGTCTTTTATTGGCCTAAAATGTGGAAGCGTAGTAAAATCACAAATATTGTTGCTGCCATTTTCCACTGAAATGGCCTTGCAACATTGGATCCAACTGAGGTGGTCCACCAAATATCCCTATTATAATGAACGTGATATCTGTCTGACTACTTTATCAGAGCAGAAAAAAAGTGTGTCTTCAATTTATGATCATATTAATAGATCCCATAAAATCCACTGCATGCATTTTATTCTGCTTCCCAGTTACTAATCAAACAATTTGTAATAATTTAGATAGCTGATCAATCACATAGAAATCACAAACCATTTGCAACGTATTACCATAGAAAAAAAGCTGCTTACATGCATCAATAGCACAAAAAGTACAAATGTGTAGGCAATTGCTATCGGATGTTAGACCCCAAATTTCCAAAAATGCTACTGAACGGTAAATATTTAAAAGATGTGCCGCTGCTTATTTATAGCTGTTTTTATTATTTAACTACCAATTACACATGATTAAATGTAGCAACTCATAAAACATTTGATCAGAAGGTTTTACAAGCTCTGGGCAGTGAATCAACTTAAACTTGATATGAAGCATGTGGGGGAGGAGGTGTGTGCAGTGCTGAAGAGGTTAACAGCTTTTGTCAAGATAAGGCGAGGAAGTCTACACAAACTCTCATCTGGGCAATCAATCACAGCTTCTGTTTTTAGAAATGAGGTCTGGCTTGGGATCTCTTTGTTGTGTTCCCCCACGAGGTGATCAGTTGAGCTCTATGTGGTGACAGAACTTGCTTGTAACAGGCTTGCCTTTCACATTCTCCTCACAGGCTCCCCAGCAGTCTTTTCTGAGCATCTGAGCTGCGGTTGGATCCAGGGACTAAGAAAGAATACAGAGAGAGTGGACTCTTATTACATACCCCAGGATTAAGCATCAAGCCTGCAGCTCTTCTGCAATAGGAATGGGCTGGTTTGAGGATCCAAGCTGGCACTTGCATGTTTCCTTGATAATGCTCCTGTCCCTGCATACCAGAGGTAAGATTGCAGTGTATATCAATGATAAAATGTATTTTATGTTCCAGACTGTTCTCATTCTACCAAATCATTGTTGGTGCTGGAATTGGGCATCACAAAAAGCTATAACTTTTATAGTACCAGTCTTATAACATGCACTTGTAGAGAGGCTTGTTCCTCTCTTGCGTAGAAAGTGATGCTCTGGATACTGTTAGAAGGATTTAGCACTGCCAAACAGTCTTATCCTGTGTTACATTCACATTTGCTTTACGTCAACTCAGGTGAAGTCATGTTTAGCTGCTGTTCATGGTTTCTTAAACAGCATGCTCCTTTGCTGTGACACCGCTGCTCATAATTCAGAACATATTGCATGTTAATCTGATGTTTAGGAAAACAGACCTTCTCTTGACTGGAGAGGAATGTACACAGCCAGTGATGCAATGCTCCAGGCTACTAATATTGACAAACTGGTTATTTTGTATGTATTTTAGAATATCATCCTACACTTTTGATTTCCTTATAATCCTTCTACTTTGTTGGTTGCATTTCAGGAGGGTATTAATTCATGTCACTTTGCAAGTTTTCCTTTAATCCGTGTAAAGATAATTTTTTCTGCTATGAATTAGTATGTCTCGGCAAGCACTACAGGGTTCCTTCATGGAATAACAATCTCATTCCCCCCTCTGAAACCCACACTAGTCCTAAGAGTGCAGCATCATTAACACATTGTGGAAGTGTTTTTTTTTTACCTTGTAAGGAATTACCCTAATTCCCTACATTTTTGAAGAGAATATATATATATTCTCATCTTACTTTAGCATTAATAAGAGTGTGGTGTACCTTTAAGGCATTTGTCATGTATAATACACATGTTAACAATGTTTCTTACAAATGTTGTAGAATACATGCAGTAGTTATTGCTAACAAGCGTAATATACATTTCAAATATAATGTAAATATAAATACATACTTTCTGTTTCATGGGCCATTGATATGTCTGAGTACAATTTCAAGCAGTGGAGCAATACTGTGTTATGTCTTGACTGTGATACTTGTTATTGGCTTGCATACAATATAGATGTTATAATTTGTTGCTGTTTTAATGATGATGTGTACAATCCATGGTTTTGATGTTTTGTTGCATTTTGTAATAATTATTCCTATAGTAAATGTAAAGTATTGCATAAAGTTAGTGATGATGGCGAGGCTAGTAAATTTGGTGAATTTACCTTTTTATTGAAAGTCAGAAGCAAATCTTTTCTGAGGACAGTTTAGATAAAATATATATAAACTAATATGAAATATCAGTGTTGGAGCCTGGATTATCCTGGATTATAACCAATTCACATTACATCTCCCAGGAAATTATAACATACTAATTATTACCAATTACTAATACAGATTACACAAAACTAAGTGCTAAATTTGTGATCTCAACACGTGAATTAGGCGATATTGATAACAAGTGAAGTTATATTTTGTAACATATAACTTGGTTATAGGTACCAATAGTTTAGACATTTTATAAGCAAACTTTACTTTTTTTAGTTAATATTATGTGCATTTTACATGACTAGTTAGTAAAAGATGTGAAATGTAAGTGGTTGTTCATACTGTGGTGTGTACTGAGCTGTTGATGACAGTGTTGAGTTGGGGAATACAATATCTTTTACTGGTTTCAAATCTCAGCCAATGGGGTAGTTGTAATCACATTTTCACACAGGACCCAAATCCTCCTCGAATACATCATCTAGTGATGTGTTGTTCTCTATAGGGTGTTGTATGCACCTGAGGTCAGATCCATTTATCATATCTCAGTAGCAGCTCCTTCTGTTTGTTTACAAAAGTGCCAGAGTAATAGGATTTCATAGTAGGGGTATTAATTACCAATACATTCACCTACTGAAAGTGTATGAGAATAATAAACTTAATTAGTGTAAATGTCAATTGTTGGGACTTTTTTTGGCATGTCCTTTAAATTAAAAGAACAGATGCCCGTATTACGACTTTAGCATGGTGCTAAAGATGCTAATAGATATTTTGTGACAGTTGATTAAATAGAGTGGATCATGGCATTAGTTGTGTTCCATTGTTCTTCAAAAATCCAGGACCCTACACATAAAAAACAATAATGTAAGATTTTTTTTCTTTTTCTTATCTTTCCTAATACGTTGAGATTTTAGCATTGATGACATATTTATCTCTGTTGCAGGGAGGTAGGCAATATTATACTTGTAACTACATCGCAATTTAGGAAAGCTGGTTGTAGTTTTCAGGTCTTTTTAATGACCATTAGACCATTATACTAAGAGTTGCTAATCATCTTCACTTGCGGTCGAGTTGTTAAACTGTTATTTAAGTTTGGAATTTAAATGACCATTGCCAATGAAGTCTTATTATTAACATTCAATGGTGTGCTCTCACAGTAATAAGTAGGATGTTAACAGCAAAGTGTATAAGAGGGCCAGTTCATATGCTAATAGATGACTCTGGAGAAAATGCTCCTGTACTTCATGCTGTTCAGTGAGTCTCTCCGATCTACATGAGCATTGTAAATTCACCCCTTATGCCAGGGTTTTATGCTAATTTAAATCACAAATTCACAATCAGTCATGTTATTCACTTTGTAGTTTTGCATGACATCTAGTGTAAGGCAGGCCTCATCATTCACTTTTCCCTTTCAGTCTTCTGTGCCTGTGCATCTGTAATGAGTATGGGAATTTGTGCACAAGTTACATGCCTCTGTTTTGTATTCCACCAGCAATGTAATGCAGTGGTAAATTGAAATACAAATAGCGAATGTAATCATGATAATAAGTATAATAGAATATAACAATCTTTCCAGTTTCCCTTGTCAATCAAAAATTAGGGCAGTTCTGTCATTAGGTAAAACTGTTTTTAAATAAGGCCAATCTGTAAAAAAAAAAAAAAAAAAAGCCTTAAAAGAGAACTATGGGGTAACCTTTTTATCCCATAGTTCTCTTTAGGGTCACAGGAGGACATATACTAACCTCATCCCGTGACCCAAGGCTCAGTATATAGCGGGCTACTGCCCGCTATATATTGAGAGCGCCACAGCTGGGAGGGATCCCAGCAATACTGTTGAGATCCACTCAGCTGGCTGATTGAAAGCGGGCTCTGCCTATCTAGAGAGAGAGCCAGCTGTGCTCACCCCATCCCCAATCCGTCCCTCCAGTCAGCGCTGGAGGATCAGAGAGGGGAGGGCGGGGGCAATCCCTGTGGGGAGCGTTGACTGGCACCCAGATAGCAAGGATAACTTGCCACAAACTTGTCTCAGGGTTAAATTGTAATTCTTTCTAACTTGTCGCACACATTCCTGTCATGTTGTAGACTTGCAGAACACTTGCAGCACAAGTTCTAGTTGACACTTTTTGAATTTGTAGAAAATTTGCTTGGCAAGTCTACAGCAACAGTCCTGCAGGTCTTAGTAAGAGCTCTGCAAGCTCGCTGGTCTGGAGACTTGCAATGCAGACTTGCTGTAATTGTGCAACAAAATTGTGAAGCTTGGCAAGTCTGCAATAGTTTAGCAAGTCATTTTCAAACTTGCAGCACAATTGCTTGCTATCTGGGCAGTCACTGTTTTCTGCAGGGAGATGATCGGTAAATGAGCGAGTGACGGTATGTGTTTGCTCACTTCCTGATCAATAGAATCGACGTGTGACAGTTTAATTGTCAAACATTGGCTCTAACTATGAGGATGAGTATAAATCACTCATGTCATAGTTCTACTTTAATGCATAGCTGTCCTACCACCAATGCTGATCTTCACCCTGTTGAAGAGCTATGCAGTCTGAAACGTCTTCTGCAGATAACTGTCTCCCACCTATGTGTTGTGGTATCTTCCCTCGCCTCTACACCACTACAGGATACAGTAATGACATAGGGGCTAGTGGATGGAACCACAGGGTAGGGGAACTAGGCACCAAATATACCTAGACATGTTGTATGCAGAATATTTTTTTGCCAGCTTAACATTTTTTTTTAAAAGAGAAAAGATCAGGAATGAGGTTGGCAGGACAGGTAAGTATTAGCTGGCCCAATTTAAAAATATTTTCCTCTAGTGACAAAGTTGCTGTAAAGGCAAGAGAGACCTATTTGCCTAATACAAAAAACTGGATGCTAAGCAAATTAAACCTACATTCAAACAGTGGTCACATCTTTCCATGTATACAGTTATTGTTCCACCACTCCAGTTATTCCCAGCACACTCTTGAAGTCAGCTTAAGATATGAGGGCCTTAAGTAATAAAGTTTAACCATTTGCACATATTGCAAAATGAGTAAAGGAATGGGCAGTCGGTGCCAGAGTCCAAGTCAAGACTAGCAGTTAAGTCTTTAAATGAACCCTGTACTGAGAGATTTTGGGGCTGCCATTGCCGATCTCTCTTTCCGCATATGCTAGTTGCCTGCCTGGTCCAATGTCTGGTTCACCAACCCAGAAAAAAAATACAGGGATCAAGAGTTCTAACTTCACACTTACTTTTTAATCTTTATTCCTATTACTAGTCAGTGACTCTGACAAGAGACAGCAACAGACAGCCAGGCCATTGGCATTTTCAGAAGGAGGCAGCTTGCATATTTCTCAGTACAGAGTTCCTTTGATTGTATTGATATAGTGTTATAATATCTATAAAGAACATGTTATAGGATATACCAATGTGATCAATTCCATCTTCAGACCTTCTCATGCAGACTAAACAGCTTTGCTGCATAAACAGTACTGTGCAGTATTGCATGCTGACCCTTCTGTAATATCTTATTGACCCGTATTGCAGCAGTCCTCACTGTCTGCATGCTGTACATGAGATGTTTTTGTTTTCATTGTTTCAGTTTTGGCAAATCAGTTTCTCAAGTTTATACATAAGCAATTTTCCACATTCCTTGATGGATGATTAATGAGAATTATGGCAGACTGTGTCATGTTCTTAATTTTGTTATCATAATACTTAGAAGTTGCATAACCTATTGGTAACTTTGTGCAGTGTTATTACAAATGACATC